TGTCAGCGACGGTTACAAGAAAAAAAATTTACTCCACAAACTTTTTTTTTTTTTTATTTTTCAAGCTCCAGATTTTATTTTTGTGTGTTTGTTTGTTTGTTTTGAATAAGATACTCGACTGGATTTTGTTTGTATTTTTTATTACGTCACGGTTTTCACAAAATATTTTCAATTCGATTAATGGTTCGTTTTCGTTTCGACAACAAACTTAACAATATCTCTTCACCATTCGATCACAATCATTCTCATCATTCTCATCATCATCATCATCATTATTATTATTATATTTATTTATAATTTGAAAAATTTATTTATTTTTTATTTTTTTCTAATGACTAATAACTTTTACCACTTTTTTTTTATTTATTATTATTATTATTCGCTTCAACCTTTTTTAAATCGAACAAACTTTCTTTTTTTTTTTTTTTTTTTTTTCAATTTCGTCTCGTGATCATCATTATCATTATTATTATTACCATCATTAAAGTAAATCGAACATTTATTATTTAAATTGTTAAAAAAAAAAAAAAAAAAAAGTTTTACAAAAAAGCAAAAAAAAAATTTTTAAATCGTTGAAAGAATTTTTTTTTTTTTTGTTTTGGCACTGATTACTTATCGTCACTTTAATTTTCGTCACTTTTTTTTTTTTTTTAAAAAGGTCATCGGGGTTAAAATAATAAAAAAAGTGTCACGCGTTCTTGTTATCAACCCGATGATGACGATGATAACTATGTTAAAATAACCGGTTTAATAATAATAATTACGTGTACTGTTTAATTACTGACGTGACCTTTTATCATTTCCTACCTGACGACTAACTTAAAATTGACGTAATGATGATTTATTATTATTATTATTATTAGCAGAGAAATGAATTAGGGGAATACGTAATTTATTTATTTTTAAATAATAATACTAATAAAAAAAAAAAATTATTAATTTATTATTAATTAATAAATAATTACAAACAAAACGTCGTTTAAAACAAAACAAAAAAAAAAATGTGAAAAAGTGTCACCGGAAATGATTCGCAATGATTTGTTTTTTTTTTTTTTTTACCTTTGACGACGTTTCCGGTTGTTGAAATTTTATTTATTATAAGTGACCCGTGTTTTGTCATGAAAATTTTTTTTTTTTTTTTTTTTTTTTTACGTGTCAAAGGTTATCGAAAAAAAAAAGGAAAAAAAATGTGAGGTGAATGAGGAGAGGGAAAAATTATTATTATTATTTGTTTTTCTCCGCCGGAAATGATTAATGTTTGTACCATCCGCTGTAGGATGATGATGGCCAATCGGAAGAAAGATAATTTATTTTGCTACTGTAGTAACTTCCTCCGCCGCCGTAGTGACTTCCGCCACCGTAGTGGCTTCCGCCGCTACTTCCGCCATAAGTATAAACGGGTTTATAATGAAAATGATGAACTTCCGTCGGATAATCGTGATGTTCGTGATGACCGTGATGATGATGACTGTCCGACAGTAAAATTTCTTTTATTTTCCATAATTTATGTTTGAGTTCTTCCCTGCAACAAACAACAATCGTTTTTAATAATTGCCTCCCCAAAAAAAAAATTCGGAAAAAATCGGAACCGGAAAAACCTAAAAACTTTATTTATATCAGATACACGGTCGTGTTTATTACGATGACGTCACAATCGTAAAATTTTTTCGTCGTCTTCTGCTTTCCCGCCTTTTCAATCAATAAACAAAATGGCGTCGAAAAAAGCGAAAACCTCCTACCGCGTTTTTCGTACATCGCGTCAATTTTTTTTTTTTTTTTTGTTGATTTTGACGCTTAAAAAAAAATTCAAAATCGGTTTGCGCGGGAAATTAAAATAATTTAAAAAAAAAAAAATTAAAAATGGTCGACGGCGTCCATTTTTAAAATAAGAAATCTGAGAGAAAAGTGGGAGACTCCATTTTTTTTTAACCGGCGATAAATAATAAAATAAAAATTTTTTCGTAAAGGAAATTCGTAAATCATCATCATCATTATTATTATTATTATTATTCTGAAACTACAAAAAAAAAACTTCTGCTATAAAAAAAAAAAAAACAGTAATTAAATTTTATCGATTATGTCATAAATAATCAAACTTGTAGAAAAAAAAGGAAGTTGTTTTTGTTAATAATAATTATTTTGCCGCGGGTTTATTTTTTATTTTTTGTTGGTTGCACTTCCACGTGCACTTCCACATGCATCGTAACCGAAATTAAAAAAAAGATGGGGGGGGGGGGCGGAAGGGGGACCGTAATTCATTTTCGTTTTGATAACGTGTAATTTACTTGCAACTGTTCGATTTATTTACTTGAATTAAAAAAAAGCAGAATACGAACGAACTTGCGAACGAACGGAGATCGATTCGATCGATAAATGACCTGGAGAAAAAAAAAATATGTTTTTTTTTTCCAGGTTATCGAATGGAACGCGGACGCATGGAAATTTACTGGAGAGAGAAAAAAGTAAACAAAACCAATTAACATTTTCTCTTATATTACGATTATATAATCGAATTAAGATAGTTATGATATTTTTTTATTTTTTTTAAAATCGAACAACTTTTTATTTCCAGTGCAAAAAAAATAATAATAATAATGATAAACGATCACGTGACAGGTTAAAAACCTCATAAGAAAATTTAATAAAAACAATGATGATGATGATGATAATTTTGACGAACGAGTTCGTTTTGCAACGCGACAAATTTTATCAAAAACTTTTTTCCCTTGTTTTAAAATATTATTATTATTTTATTAAAACGAAATAATGTCTTCTGCTTGAACGGTAAACAAACGTCACGTTCGATCAGAGAAATGATAATAATGATAATGGGGAAAATAAAAAATACGAAACGGGTTAAATAGTAAACACAAAGACGCGCGGGAACAAATTATTACTTCGTATTGTAAAAAAAAAAATTTGTATAGGCGGAAGAATTGATATAATTAACATAATTTATTAGCGCCATTTTCTTTCTTTTTTTTTTAAATAAATAAATTAATTAATTAATAATTTTGAATTAAATAAATAAATAAATAAAAATATTAAGGAAATTAATTACCGTAACGAACGAGTAATAATAATAATTCCTGTATTAAAACGTTACGTAATTTTGTTATGATATGTTTGTTTATAGGCAGTAAAATTTATTAAATTTTTTCGTAAAAATGTATTCGTAACACGATCGATCCATCGATCGATTAATCGATTAATCGATTGTTAGAAAATCGGAAGGAAAGGTTTAACGACAGAGACGATAAATGAATCAAAGTCATTGAAAAATGTACTCGTTTATTATTATTATTCTTTAGTTATGACGAAGATAATGATAATGATTATGATAATGATAATAATAACAATAACGATAATAATAATAATAATAGTAATGATAATAATGATAATTAAGGTAATAAAAGAGCGTTAAAAAAACGATCGGAGTAAATAATTCGATTAGAATAAATTGGAAGTCGGAGTGGATTCTGTGACAAAAACAATCGTTGAAGGTTCGTTCGAGACAAATTGTTTTTTTTTTTGGGGGGGCAGGGAGGAGGGTGGAAAATAAAAGAGAAGAATTCGAACGGGGCGTTGAAAAAATCTACCGC